TAAAGCTGCCCTAGGGGGAGGCGTAGGCAGGGACTGCAGGAGCCTCGCTTCTGTCGCGATTGTCTAATGGGTTAAAGTGAACTCCACGAAAAAAACTGAAGCCTGGTGGTTTAAGTGCTGTCCATAACAAAGAATATTAGTTTTTGTGTGTGCAGCACAGCTTTTCAATTCATACGCTATGTGTTTAACCAGGAATTTGCTTTATGCATCCCCTGGGGGGCGCTACCAGAGTTACAAAGTGTGCAAGTGCGAGAGCTATTAACTGCAGGTGAGCACTCTGACCTTAAAAAGTTTGAGATAGGGTGCATTGCCTACTTTTACAGCACCGTTTAGAAGCATAGTGCTCTGAACCTAGAGAGGAGACTTCTTCCTCTAAATATATGTATATATGTGACTAAGAAGTAAAAGCTGGTTGAGTAATGCATAGTAGGTACAGTGGTGGTAAGTCTGTAATGGAGTCAGGCATTGGAAAGTTGTTGGTCTCTGAGTCTTAAACTTTTGCAATTTTATCATTTTAGATCGCTAGAGGGACGGAGAATGCTGTGCCTGACCTTAGAAGTAAAGCAAAAACTCAAGTGACTGGCAAAAGGTCTGCTTTGGAGGAAATAGGAAATAAGTTTGCAACAAGAGGAACACACATATCTAAGGTAAAGGAACATTTGAAATCTCTATACAGGGAGAAGTTGGATTGCTGCCCTGTACTAATAATAAATGTTTTCTCTACAGAAAACAGAATGCCTCAAAGCATCTACAAAGCCTGTGAAAGCATCTAGCAAGGTGACAAATGGAACTGTACTGCCTAAAGCTCCAGCTGCTGTAAATGAAGCAAACAAAGAAACTGATGTTCCAAAGGTAGGAACTGATGATACTGTTCTTTAATTTGATTTGCAACTTTGAGCTCTACCTTCACAATAGTTTTATCTGTGGCTCTATCTCGTTCTCCTGCTGAAGAAACAGTCTCTGTACCGAGGTTTTGGTTTAATGCATGTTGTAGTTAAGCATAATGCATGATGTTCAAGCGGCAGCATGAGCTGCTGAAGTACTGGATGAAGTTTCTGCTTTAGCTGGCAATTACTGGAAGATGTTGGGATTCTGTGTTTGTGGTATATCAGTGGAAACTTGCTGTGCTGGAGCCCAAGCTTCCATCTAAAGAAGTTGCGTTGGTGACCGGTGAAACATGGAAACAAAGGAACAGTGAAACTTACCCAGTGGATCTGTGTTAACAGATGTGATGTGTTCCTTAGGCTCTGTCTCCTGTCCCTATGGATGTGTCCATGCAGGAGGAGGATTTGTGCCAGGCCTTCTCTGATGTGCTGCTCAACAACATCCAAGACATCGATGCAGAGGACTCTGAGAACCCCCAGCTGTGTAGTGACTACGTGAAAGACATCTACCTGTACCTGAGGGAGCTCGAGGTAGGGTGCCCCAGGGCTGCCCTGGTGTCTCGGGGGGTTGCCTGGCTGCTCACCCACCCCCTGTCTGTCCCCCCAGCTGCAGCAGTCCGTCCGTCCGCACTACCTGGACGGGAGGACGATCAACGGGCGCATGCGCGCCATCCTGGTGGACTGGCTCGTGCAGGTGCACTCGAGGTTCCGCCTCCTGCAGGAGACCCTCTACATGTGTGTGGCCATCATGGATCGCTTCCTGCAGGTGAGATCTCCCCCAGGCCATGCTCGGGAATTGCTCACTTGCTATGGTTGTCAAGGAGTTCAGGATTTAACTTGTCTTTAGAAATCACACGATCAGCAGCATCTGCTCTGTGTGTAAGAGCTGTGACAGTGCAGCACCTTAACTCAGGCTGCTGCCTTCTCTGAGCCTATACAGACACCTTTGCCTAGAGTGACAACCTCATTCATCATTCTAAACTGATAAATATGAATCTGATTATCTAGAGTTTGACACTTCAAGGCCTGCATTTTGAATGTCTGTGTTGCAGAATCATCCAGTACCTCGCAAGAAGCTTCAGCTGGTGGGCGTAACAGCGATGCTTGTAGCTTCAAAATATGAAGAGATCTTGTCTCCTGATGTAGCAGACTTTGTTTATATTACTGACAATTCCTACACTAGTAATGAAATTAGAGAAATGGAAATGATTATTCTTAAAGAATTAAACTTTGACCTGGGGAGACCTCTTCCAATTCACTTCTTAAGAAGAGCATCAAAAGCTGGGGAGGTGGGTACTTTTACTCATTATCCAGCACTTCCCTCTATTGGTAAAGCCTATAAGGATTGCTTCTGGTGTTTTTATCATGTGACCTTTCCTCCTCCAGCTTAAATGCTGGATGAAGCAATGCTCGGCTCAGAAACTCCACCGTGTGGCCTAACACGGCAATGTCACTGTGGCAGCCAGTAGTATTTCACATTTCTATTCACTGATGCCCGTGTTCAGCCTTAGTGGCAGTAATTTTGCTGTTAAACTAAGAAGCCTTGCTTTTAATCTTTTTAATCCTGGTGATCTGGGTACTTATTAGTAAAACACTAGCAGTGTTGCAGTTCTTTGTAACTTCTGGTTGTAAATATTGTGTTATTTAAAAATCAAAAGATAAGCTTTCTCTTTGACCCACCCCTTTTCTTTCTCCACCTCAGTAATTATATTCAAGTGACTGTCTGCACTTGAGGTGGGTTTCAGTTACCTCAGCAGACCACTGGGTAACTCAAATAAGTTTCTCCCTAAGTCATTTTACACCTCCCCTCCCTAGTCTGCTTTACAGAGGAGCATTAGTGTCCCTAATTGGGCACAGCTGTACCTGATACTGCAGATTTCTGTTATAATTCCTCTCTTGACTTTGTGTCTAAATTCCAAATGGCTGCTGATCTTGATTTTGAGAGGAATGTCTGTTAAAAGGATGGTCCCTAAACTGTACTAAAGATTTTGCTATTTTTGTTTTGTTCTTTGAACACAATAAGCAATTCTGACTGATAATGCTAAAGTGAAGTGAAACTGTGGATTAACGAGCTCTCACCCTGCTAGGCCGATGCCAAGCAACACACTCTGGCAAAGTACCTGATGGAGCTGACCCTGGTAGACTATGACATGGTGCACCACCGGCCCTCAGAGATTGCAGCTGCTGCCCTGTGCCTGTCTCAGAGGGTTCTGGGACATACCAAATGGGTGAGCACTTTAATCAAACTTGTTCTTCACTGTGGAATCCAGCTAATAAAAAAGTACTTTAAAAATCGTGTTTAGTTGGTGACAGTGCTGGTGCTGGAATGATGGGTGGGCAGCCTGATGCATAGTGGCAGGTAGAATAAGGAACGTACCAGTAAAAACTCACAATCCTTTCTCTGTGAATACTGGGGTACAAAAGGGGTTTCTCATGAAAGCTTTGAGTTTCTGAAGCTACACTGTAAAAGTAGATTTTCATAGTTCTTGCAGTACATGTAGCACAATGAAGTTATGGACCATGAGTAGTGAGTTGTAATTCAGCTGGTAGTTGCTTTTTTATCCTGTGCTCAGTCTAAAAGTATGGTCTGTGAAATTGATGTGTACAGACTTCTGCCCATCAGATGCCTCTGGATCTGTCATTTTAACTGACAGCTAGTTTCCAGCACTTGAGGCTCAGCTGTGAGCTTGGGGTGTTTGCT